TCAGGCACCCACCTGGATAACGAGGGAATACAATTCAAGTTTTTGGTAATCAGGCGCCTACCTAGAGAACGAGGGAATCCATTTCAAACTCTTTTCAAAGTCATTTCAGAATTCAATTCATGTTAGATGTAGCAGAAGCTCGTGGCAAGAATGCGAGTCAACAGTCCGAGATGACCAACAAAAGTAGTCTCAATCCAAAAAAGAAAAAAAGAAAAGAAAAGAAAGAAAGTGAATCCAAAATCCAGAAGCAGAAAAAAATGTGAACTGCTCAAGACGTGGTTGAAGTCACGAGCGCTACATGTCCGGTCTTCATCTGAAAAAGCTAAAGAAGAACGAGCTAGCACCTGCAGCTAACGAGCATCAAGGTTCAAATCTAAAGTCTGCATGAAGAACCATTCAAGACTCAAGATCAAACTTCAGAAGACTTATAGATAGGAATATTGTAACTCATAGCTGACAGGCTTAGTTAGTCTTTTTCATTTTTTTGATTTTGATGTAATAACGGAACCGCGGACCCGATCTTCGGCGGAACGGTACCTCAATCGGCTCTCCATCTCAGTATACTCTATCACCTTATTCACTTCTGAACTACACGTGGCCTGATTCCTTTATTGCCAAGGATATGTAGGTAACTCAGATACTAGGGCTCGATCACATTCTCTTCCTTTCTCTTAGTTTTTGGTCTCTTTAAATAAGGGTCGGGTCAAAAAAACCTGTCTAGTCGTTCTTTGTCTGAAAACTCTTCGCGTTTTCAGTCAAAGAGGGGCAACTGTAGACATGTGATTTTTGACCCTCCCCAAGATTTTACATATTTTAGCATTTAAATACTTAGTCTAGGTCTAATATAGTTATTTCAACTAATTTTTGACTCTTTTACATTATTTTATCACAAAATTAAAAATACAAAAATAGTTCCATATTTCTCTATTTAATTCACGTATTAGATATTTTTAGGAGGATATATTACTTTGAACCTATTTTTATTTTATTTTAATATAATCTTTGAAAATGCAAAAATAGTTTCAACTTTAATTTTTAGTTTTATTTTAAATATAATAGTTTATTAAAATCAATTAAGAGTTACTTTATACCTTGTTATAAGTATTTTTTTTAAAAAAAAAAGCAAATTAAATTTTCAGTATTTGTCNACATTATTTTATCACAAAATTAAAAATATAAAAAAATAGTTCCATATTTCTCTATTTAATTCACGTATTAGATATTTTTAGGAGGATATATTACTTTGAACCTATTTTATTTTATTTTAATATAATCTTTGAAAATGCAAAAATAGTTTCAACTTTAATTTTTAGTTTTATTTTTATTTTAAATATAATAGTTTATTAAAATCAATTAAGAGTTACTTTATACCTTGTTATAAGTATTTTTTTTTAAAAAGCAAATTAAATTTTCAGTATTTTTCTAGCCCGATTTGGTAGATTTAGAGCCTAATTCAACCCTTAGACCATAAATCCAAGCCCAATACCCAATACTCATTCCCTAACCCAACCCAATCTAAAAAGACCTAAAGAACCTGAAGAAGAGATATATCGTGAAGACCCCCCCTAATCGATCATCTTCTGGAGGAGACAAAAACACACAGCTCCTCCTTCTTCCTGGACTGAACAGAAGCCTTAAAATGACCTTTAGCTGCTGGACCACCTCCAACGCCACTGGACACTCCCTCGCCACTAACAATACTAACCACTATTCCCTCACCTCCATTAATCTCCGTGTGAGCTCTCACTCTAGACCCCAAGCACAACAGCGACCCCCACCAACTTCTTCTTATTCAAACACTAGCCAGAACAGACCACTCCTTTAGTCGTGGCTTCTTCCTCTTCTAGCCTTGAACACCTATGAACGGATCCCCACTGTTACCCTCACACAAAAGACCCCCTGCTTCTTCAACATTAGGACACAAGGAAGAGAACGACCTCCTCTCTCCAATTTTCGGCCAGCGTACCTTCCCATTTCTCGTTTCCATAGACAGAGATCGAGAGGAAGTTCTGGACAGAATCTTAGCAAATTTCTCGGTTGATTTGTTTGATTTCGATTTGAGTTTCGAAGTGATGGAATTCAAATGAGTGAAGGTGTCGAATTCGTGGGTGCTCGTTGAATGCCGTCGGGTTTTGAAGTGTTTGTTTTGGTGCTCATTTGGTGGAATACGCTTCTGTTCATTGAGCTTTAGTTGCCGCCTTCAAGTGTATTATTTTACCAACATCGAATTGATTGAAACTCCCTCTTCCAGGTCCGATTCTTTAGTTCTCCGCTCAACTTATATTCTTTAAAACTTATGTGTTGTTTGTGTTGAAATGTTTGTTTGATACATGTTAATCATATTTTGCTTGGTTAATCCTGATCACATCAATTGGTTAGGACTTACACGAACTAGCCTGTGTTGAAATTTGTCATGAAATATGGGATTGGGTTATGTTAAAAAGGGAGTTGGATTTAGGTTGCCTTTAACATCTGAAGCCAGGAAATTTCAATTGATGAATCTGTTATTATATATGGCTTCAATGGCTGCGATGATTTTGCTCCCTTTTACACTATACATAGAGGGAAATATAAAATCATTTACATTGGAGAAAGCTAAGGATTACATGTGAGTTTTGGCCTGCCGTATGTTCTGAGATTGAGTTTGATATAATTTTGTCGTTCTTTATTCTCACTATCGTTGGTTGGACCGCTAGGAGCATGACTAGGCCGACCACATCGGGGTAGGCAATCTTTAGGATATTTGTTCGTTTGAGGCGAAAGGTCGTTCCATAGGTAAATTTATCAAGGGAATGCCCCGAAGTATTTGTATATATTTTAAACAGGGGAATGCCCTGAAGTAAATGTAAATGGAGGTCATGGCAACATCAATGGAGGCGTAGTATAGGCTAGCAAGACTTATTTCATTTTATTTTTTTTCTTTTATTTGGTGGGGACGACCTCGAGCCTCATGTATGTTTACTTTGTTTTTTTTGTGATTTTACCTCAATTTGAATATTTTAAAATCCAACTAGGAGTACACAACCGTACTAGTTACGGGACTTGGGGAGTGCCTAACACCTTCTCCCCGAGTCAAATGAACCCCCTTATCCGAATCTCTAGTGCAGACTTAGTTTTGGAGTTTCAAGTGTTTCAAAAGGAAAAAAATTAGTTTAGAAAAACGGTGACCTGACACACCGAAATCAAACGTCAGGTGGCGACCCTGAATTATCTCCTTTTGAACACAAATTTTTGTCACTTTCAAAATTGAAAAACCCTTTTGAGCTTTGCAAAATCCTTTTATTTATTTATGCAGGGGTTAGTGAAGTTTGGATTAAAAAAAGGGGTGTGACATGGATCGGTTGCGGAATTCAAAAGTTTGGAAATCCTTAGGCTTGAATCCGAGGATGATTTGATATTTTGATGTTGTTTTGAGTGTTCCAAAGATTGGAATAAGTTTGAATGATGATATATGACTTGTTTGGGTATTTAGTTGAGGTCCTGAGGGCCTCGGGATAGATTTGGGTGGTTGACGGAAAGTTTGGAGTTGATTTGGAGTTGCAGAATTTTCACTGCTTCTGTTATTTCCGCACCTGCAGATAGGGGACCGCAGGTGCGATGAGTGTAGAAGCGGGAAAATACCGCAGATGCAGTTTGGGCATCGCAGAAGCGGAAGGTGAGCTGCACCTGCGAGCCTGCAGGTGCGGAAGGTTGATCGCAGGTGCGGATGAGGGATTTTAAGTGAAAATCCACAGAAGCAGAGATTGATCCGCAGGTGCGGACCGCAGATGCGACATTGGAACCGCAGGTGCGATTGGGCAGAAGGTATAAATAGAGGCTTTCGCGAAATTTGGTCATTTTTCCACCATTTGTGTTCGGTTTTGGAGCTTTTTGAGAGGAATTGAAGAGGGATTCAAGGGGTAACAGTTGGAGGTAAGGTTTTTAAACTCAATACTCGATTATATTGTGATTTCTAACTAATTAGACATGAAATTAGTGGGATTTAAGGGTTAAAATGGAAGGCTAGGGCTTGAGTTTTGGAGAGCTTTGTGTGGAGATTAGAGAGGCCATTTGAGGTCCGATTTCGATATTTTTGGTATGTATGGACTCGTGGGAGGATAAGAATTCTAGAGATGTAATTTTTATCGACTTCTGAGATGTGGGCTCGGGGGCGGGTTTGGCCAATTTTAGCATTTTTGAGTTAATTTGATTATATTTGCTTGGGTTTTGTTCCTTTAGTGTGTTTTAATGATGTATACTGATTTTTGGTTAGAATCAGAGCATTTGGAGGTCGAATCGAGAGGCAAGGGCATCGCGGGCTAGAGTTATGGCTTAATTTGAGATAAGTAACACTTTCAAACTTGGTTCTGAGGGTTCGAAACCCCGAAATATGTGTTCTATGATTACTATTGAGGTGACGCAAATGCCAAGTGACGAGCGTGTGGGCGTGCACCGTGAGAATCATAGCTTGGATCATTCCATGGCACCGCTTAGTGACTCTTTCTTGCTGATATCTGTGTTGTGATTATGTGATTAAGTTAATGAGCTGTAAATCATGATAATTATCATGTTAAGGCTTCACGCCGATACTGTTGAGGTCCGAGAGGTCGTTTTTTGCTGTCATATAATTAGCTTCATTGATATTCTATACTCAGCTCTGTTCATGCATATTATATCATATCTCAGTCTCAATTATTGTTATTTCACAGATCATATCATTGTTCGGGATAGTATCATGACATTTTGAGCCCGTGTATGTGAGACTGGAGAGTCATGACTAAGTGAGGTCGAGAACTTGATATTGAGTGATAGTGTGGGATCGGGCTGCACGCCGCAACGGGATATTGATTATGCCTTCGTTAGCTTGTTATATCGCTTGGGCTGAAAGGAACCCCTCTGGAGTCTTTATACCCCAGTGAGTGCAGTTGATGTTATTGAGGGATGGATCTTCCCTGGACATGGATCTTGTCCGAAGTATTTATACCTAGAGATGGATCTTCTCCATAGGGCTAGAATGGCCTTCCTCGGTACTGGATGACTGCGCTCAGTGATATGTATATATTCCGGGATGGATCTTCCCTAGGCTGGATGTCCATATACAGTACCGAGTGGTTGAGCACTTGTTAGTGGTGGTACACGGTACATTCCTTTATGCATTTTATACATTGGTACATAGAGATTTGCTGAGCTTTATACTCTGTTCTGTTCAGATGGTATTTATTTACTATTGAGTTTTATACTTGAACTGCAAGCATGCATACTTTTCTGTACTATTTAAATGTATTACTTGTTGAGGTTTGGTTCGTCACTACCTGTCAGTCCATAGTTTGGATTTGTTACTTACTTAGTTAGTGTACTCACGTGTGCAGATCCAGGTATCTCAGGGCACGGTAGCGGTTGTTGACTATTCCGGTCGCGGAATTCATGGAGACAGCGAGGTAGCTGCCCGTCGATTCGCAGTTCCGTTTTTCTCCATCCCTATCTTCCTATTAGTATATTGTTGCTATTTTCAGACTATTTGGTCTTGTCATGTTTCAAAGCTATTGTAGCATGGCTCATGACTTAGTGACACCCGAGGTCGAGCTTGTATTTTTCCGCTTTGTGTGATTTTGACTTCATAACTTTTATCGGATTTCAGTTGAAAAATGGTTTTTCTTAAGTTCTAAATGAAATGTGGATTAAATTGGGAATGTGTCGGTTTTCCTAGTTTAATGTTAGACGCCATCACGACCGGGTCGGTTTGGGTCGTGACATATATATATATATATATATATATATATTTGGAAACTAACATTGCTATAGATTGTTGTTTGATGTTTTTCTTATGAAACATTGGCAAACCATGGCTTTTAGGTAAAAGGAGGATCGAATATGATTATAAAAAGTCACCTGCTTTTCGTTACTTTAGCATACTTGAGCTTCTTAACAGTTTTAAAACTAGTTCTTTCAATAAATAAATAGTTTACTCACGTTTATCACTAATGATTTTCAACTTTAAGTATGTAGCAGACTTGAGAACGAAAACCAACACTTCTTGAGAAAGCTTCAAAGCAGATCACATACCATAATAGGCTATTTTAAAAAATAAAGATAGTCACACAATCAAGTTTATAAGAACGGGCATCGACGAGTTTTTTAAATACGAGCATTTCTCGCTAAAACAGTCTTCAAAGATAAAGGTATTCCAACTTGAGACATATTTCTAAAGGGTAAATCTTTTGCTTTACAAGTTACACAACCTCACAAATAATATCTCTCTTTTCAAATGGAATACACAACCTATCCCGAAATAATGAGTTTTTCAAACAAGGTTTCAAAATATTTTTTACAAATCTTACTTAACCACTTTAATCACTAACTAAGAAGAATATAGATTTTTCTTTCCCCAGACCTGGTTTAAGTTTAAGGAGCCACCTCAGTTAGATTTTAAGGGATACCTAACACCTTTTCCTTAGAATAACTAGAACCCTTACCCAAGTCTCACCGGTTAACAGATCATTAGAATAATAATCTCATAAACCTATATGTATTGTAATATACCTTAAAATATTAGGTGATGACTCTCTTTTATCAACTTCAGAAGGACCATTAGTTGTATTGTGTTTTGACTAGTACAAAATAGGGTACAACGTGGATTCATTGGGATTAGACTTTTGTCTTTGTACACTCTCTTCAAGTAGGATCCATTTATCAAGGTTCTTCATAGCTTCTTTTTCGTTGCTCACAAATGAACCATCATAACTGCTGCAAGTGCTGCTTCAACGCATTTTAGATCATCTCTAGCTTGATCAATTCTCAGTAAAGTAGATTGGAATTCTCTTTGGTTCAGTTATATGAATGCTGCTCTAAGGGCCTTAAGCTTGTTCCACACGTTCTGCATTGGATCTCTAGATAGTTAAAGCTTCCAGATGGTATCAATCATCTTTAAGAATTGATCATATTCACTCCATATATTGAATAATCGGAATGGTACTCTAATACTATGATTAGTAATTTTTAAAGACGGCAACGTTGGGCATGATCTAATATATTAGGGAGATCATACTCTAAGACAATATGGCCTCACAATATTATCCAATCGCACTTGTCAAATGCTCTACAATTTCACTCCTAACGCTATCAGCTTCCTGTTGCTTATCTCCAAACTCTATCAGCTCCCTATTGCTTATTTGTCCAAGTGAAGAATTCTCCTTTCCATTGTAATTCACTTAGAATAGTAACAATAATATAGTCTGAAAAATCATTTACTTAATTAAAACTCACTGGACTACAACTCATTCTATCAGTGGCAGTTATTGTGTTGAAATCCCCACACACTAACCATGGATGATTAATAGTGTGTGAAATAGTTTGAAGACTGTCCCATAAAGATTTCCTTTCCTCCATAGTGTTGAAGCCATATGCAACTATCAAGACACATTAAAAAATAGAGGTTAAGTCTCTAACTTCACAATTGATAAGTTGAGCTTCCATGTTCAGCTCTATTACGTTAAATAAGCCTTGACCCCACATCAGCCAAATCCTTCCATTAGCAGCAAAGGAATAGTTACTAAGTATATCCATGTAGGAGAAATAGCTTTAGCAATTTTTGCACACCTATATTGTTTAACTCTGTTTCCAGCAGTCCCATTAGCTTAATATTTTTTGAAGTAATATAATTCCTCAGCTCTCTCTATTTATATACTTTATTTACACCTCTAATCATGGACGAAGCTACTTTCACTTAAGGGTGGTCAATTGCCCACCCTTCGTAAAAACATTACACGGTATATATAGGTAAAATATTAAGTTTTAGAGGTATATAACATATATTGAAACACTCTTTTGTCGATAATTTTTTTTTTTACTTCGTTCAAGTTTGAACACTCTTGGAAAAATTACGGGCTTCGTCACTGCCTCTAATATTCCATATAAGATAAGTCATTGAGAAACTTGTTTACCTCATAAGTCTATAGGTTTAGCTTGTCTAGGTCTCTTGTCCTCCTTTTGCATAGTCAAAGGCTTCCTTGTAGTTTTTGTGACTACACCAACACTTAACCGTGGGAAATTAATAAGGTTCAACTCTGGACTTTGCATTATCTACTTACCTTTTAAAGAGGTCTCAATTGTTCCACCTAGAGTTGGCATTTTATGTTGAGAACCAACTTCTTTCTGCTGATGTCTTTCTTCATTGATGGTAGGTAGAGGCTGAACTACCTCAATATGGACAACCTGCTTATTCTGGGCGGCATGTTGACTAGTTGAGAGTAAATCTTTGGCCTTCTATTCCCGGACCATCTTCTTTACACCACTTCTTCTCTTATTGTTAACTTATTACTCAGATAGTTGTTGCTCAGGTTTTTGAGGGGGACAAACATATCGTATGGTTAAGCATTGAGGACAGAATTGGGGCTTCCAATCAAACTCCACCTCCTGCAGAAATTTCTATCCATTGGGTTCCACTATTGTGATCTTTCCAAGCAATGGTTTAGAGACATTCACCTCAATTAACATTCTTGCGTAGGAGATGCTAGTTTGCTTGGTTGTACACTCATCAACAAACCATGGCTTCCCCAATGCATTTGCATTCCTGCCCCAAGAACCACAGCCCCAACAACTGATGGGCAATTTTGGGAACTTGACCCAAAGATGGATCTCAGTCATAAACTTAAAGCTAAAATTAGTGCTTTAAAAGGCACTTTGGGGACGAGCTCCGGGGAGAGGCGCACCAAAATTTCCCCGAGACGATGGTGTGGGACGAAAGTCTCAAGAGGCGTACGTCCAACAATTTGGGGCGTACACCCGAGTGTTCAAGATGTATTTTTGTAGTGAGGCGTAAGTCCCAGAGACTGTTTCAAATTGAAAATAAAATTTGATGAATAAGTTCTTCATAAAATAACCAAATTCTCAAAAGTAAACTTGTGATTACTCAAAAGTTTTAAAAATAAACTGAAATATTAAATTTAAAAGTCAAGACATTTTTTATTGATAGAAGCCTAAGGTCTTTCCCAATTCTTTATCTTATTCTTCTACTATCTCCCAAAAGTAACGAATAGTCAATTTTTTTAGCAAATACAAGTAGAACTCCATTCTCCTTCATAGCAGCAGGTTCAAAGTTCAAATTGCAGGTTAGTCATCCTTTTTGTTTCTCTATGTAGAAAACTTTATTCTTTTCAACTCAAGTTACTTATGTTTGTAAGTACCGTATAATAAATTATTTTGACTAGTTTTTTTGTGGGGATGGAGCATATCTATATATATATTTCACACATTTAGAGTTTTCTTTAATTTTTATGCAATTTTACCTATTTATAAATATTTATTGTAATTATATTATTTTATAAAATATCTAAAATTAAATACCCATGGGCTTACGTCCCGTACCACGGGGCTTACGCCAAGTGAGGCATATGTAAAACGTCTCGCTCTATACTCACGCATTTTAAAACACTGGCTGGAATCAAATGCAGGAGTCCATGATTTTAAAATGATTGGTCGATTTCGAATAGTATTGGATTCCCCAGAACAGGATCTCATTCATATCCATGTTATCTTGAAATCATGCAACATAGTAACTATCCTCATGAAAATAGAGATCCGGGCTAGCTATGATATTCCACGTTTGGGATACATACGACACACCACACATGAGAGAATACACCGGGGGTCTCACCCATTAGCGTTCTTCCATTTTTTCGCTTCTTTATCAATCTCAGATTTTTTCAAGTTACACAACAGTTTCACCATTAACAATCTTGTTAGAAAAATAATAATCAAAACTGGCTTTGAGGCGTGCAAATCGACTGTCCTTAAAGAGTTATCGCCTGTATACTAATTTAGGGAAAATACAAAACGATTCTCTTCAGGATACAACAAAGCCTGCAGTAACACTTGTGATTTTCTATATCCACTTCGTTGGAATTCTTGTGTATTTATAGGCAACAAACAGACCCTTTCTGATAGGATGTCTTGTTTCACAAACTGACACGACTATTTATTCGAATTTTGAATTTAAAATTCAAATAAATAATTAACTCTAGGATCTCGTGCCTGTTGAGTTAATCTCGTGCCTGTTATGTGTTATTTCATAATGATCAGTTCCGAGGCTAACAGGCACGGTACGAGTAAGGTCGGTCCCGGGAGTGTTTCACATGACAGGCACGGAACTTCTTTCTTCCGATGTGGGAAGAATCCAACTTCCAACTTGTCAATAACAAACTATCTTACAACCCCCCACTAGTTTGTTATTGAATAATTGAAAGTATCTTTTACAGATTTGAACTTTCCTTTAGTGTAAGTATATTAAAGTTT